TTCCAATTAGGTAAGTTTTGTTCATATTCATTGCTTTACTAATTTTTTGTGGAATTTTTTTTTTACGAAAAATCAAGTCAAAAAATTTTGATACATAACTAATTTTTGATGAAAGATTACTTTCATTAAAAAAAAAAAAAATTTTTTTCTTACAGCAGAAGGAAAATGATTTTTTAATAGGAACAATTCAAAGCGCACAAAATGTTTTAAGTTGAAGACAACATTTGTAAAATAGTTTGTTTAAAGTAAAGTATCAGTTGCTTTAAACAAGGCGATAATTGGACTGAGGAAGGGATGGATGCTTTTACAGCTTTGTGTGCTGTTGTTGTTCCAGTGGTCTGCTAAATAATCGGTCATTACATGTAAGATGTTTTTTTTTTGATGAACTCTTCTGTTTTAGTGAGTACTTTTTTTCCAGACAAAACTTGTCATATGTTATCTAAAACCTATCTCAAAAATTTCGTATTTTGATTTGCAGTTTTACTGAAAAATTATGCCTGTGCATATTTGCATTTTGTATTTCTGCGTTATTCTATATTATATATCACTATGGTCATTAGATTGTGGTCAATACTTTTTCAGCTTACAGTTGGCATCAGATTGGCATCGTCAAAAACAATTATTGTCAAAAAGTGTATACTAAGTATATTGTATAAGTTGGGGGGGGGGGGGGGGGGGGGGGGAGGGGAGCAAAATCCAGTAACGTTTAATATTGTACAAATATCATTTGATGGCATATTTGTATGCCTATTAAAACTCTTCGTCTGCCGTTTATATTTCTAACTGCAAAGTAGACTATGGCTTATTTAAACTATTGGATGTTGCATAAATTACAAAATAATTCTGATATAATTTTTACTTTTTATTTTCTAAGATAAAAGTTTTTTTTGTTGCAAATAAAGCATTTCGCATTTGTTATTACTCAGAGCTAAAAAGAAACAATAAAATATTTACTAGACGTGTTATTAATTTATCATTAACCTAAACCTTCATATATACCGCATGTTTTTCCAAATTTCTTTTTGCTTTATTTATGAACAAATCTTTTTGAATAGTAAATTTAAAAATTAATTTTAACCTTTATATAGCATTTTTAAAATACTTATTTACTAGCCGATTAATTAGAGATGTATCAATCCCGAGAAAATCGTGCATGAGCGGTTCTTCTTTTGGTTGATTGCTAGGTTGGTTAAGATTTATTTTGCCTAAGTTTTTGCTGCTAGTTACGTTATGGATAAACTTATAGTTTTCTATTGCAAAGCAGTGTTTATTGGAAAAGATGAAAAGAATGAGTTGTTTTCGCCTAAAAAAGCATTCAGATTGCGTGTCTAATAGCATTTTTTTTTTCTTTTGTTGAATTTTGCCCATTCCACCGCTTCGTTCGACGTTAATTTCATCTCTGGTAACCTAACTGTTCATTGTTTAGTGGATGACTGGAACAACTTTAGTCTTTTTAAATTTTATTCTACCTTTTTTTCCAGTAGCAACGCCCTGTTGCTATCTTTGGGCAAATGGTGCTGTTTCTTTTTCAGCTATAGCAGAATTTATTTCTTCTCTTTTTTTACATTCTTAGAATATCAGAACTTTTGAATACTGTTTCTTCTTATTGATAATACTTAGTTGGCCTGAATTTAAGTTGTTGACAGGTTTGCGAAAAAAAATCATATTTTTCTAGTTTCTTTTTGGTACATAGCATAGTACTTTTCTTAAACTATTTTCTTGATCAGTTCCTTCATGAAGGTAGGCTAATCAAATTTTAGTAAACTAATATTTTATTGTTTTTTAGTATTTAAATTGTAACCTTCTTGTTTGAACAGCTTTTCTTTATTCAGAGCAGCAGAATCCATGCGCCGATTTACAGTGTGGTCCAGGAAGTGAATGCCTAGTTTCTGAAGTTAATGGTGTTTTATCTGGCCGTTGTCAGTGCCCGGAAACTTGCGATGATTACGGTGACAGCGTTGAGTCATCACCGGTGTGTGCATCTGACGGACATGATTATGAATCTCTTTGTTTGATGAGACTTCACGCATGCAAAACGCAGGAAAATATTACTGTTAAGTTTTACGGAAGATGTGGTAAGTAAAATCTCATTTTAGATTTTGAGTGAAAAAGGTGCAGGACTCTGCAGTCAATCTTATGTCGTTTTTTTTTCTTAGCTTTGAAGGTGGTTGTGAGTTTTACAATTCAAACCTGTTGTAACAAATTCTACGTAGAGAAGAAATTTCAGATCCTTGTGAAGGTTTCAAATGCGCTTTGGGTACTGTATGTAAGTTGAATGCGGAACGGAAGCCTGAATGCCGTTGTTCAGAACAATGTTCTCTTGAGAGACGTCCAGTTTGTGCGTCTGATGGAAATACGTAATTGCTTCGCAAATATCAGTAAAATAAAGCACAGGCTACTGACTTTTTCATCAAATCTTATAAAAAGTATACTTTGCAAAAAAGAAGTGAAATTTATATTTCTCACTGAAGGAGTATATATTATGCGTAGTTGTTAATTTTTACAGTAATGGGTTGAAAAATTCAGGTACGAAAATGAATGCTTAATGTTAGTGTCTGCATGTCGCTCGGATACTGTCTTAAGGATTATTTCAAAAGGGCACTGTACAGGTTTGTCAGCTAGTCGCTTATTAAATTTGAAATTTACTAGTTTTTTCGTGCCAAAAGTGGTTTCATATCGGCTATGATCATCGACACAAGAAAGAAATAGACACTTTAAAGGAGAAAATCCCTGCGCGCAGAAGAGATGCGGCACTGGTCAAAAATGTTTTATTCATAGGAACGGTACAGCAGTATGTCGTTGCAGAGCAGCTTGTCCACCAATAATGAGACCAGTTTGTGGATTGGTATGTCCCTACGTCCAGTGATTTTATTCTTGTAACAACGCTTGTTAATGTTTTGTCACATGACTTAAAAATTAGAAAGGATGTTAGTATGTAGCTGCCTTTCGTACTGATGTTGAATTAGTTGTAAGACTGCATTTTTTAATACTTGGAGAGTAGAATGGGAATTTTAGGATGAGAAAACCTACGATAACGAGTGTGAGTTAAAACGAAGAGCTTGCGAAATGGGAATTGAAAATCATGTTCGATATTACAGCTCATGTGGTACGTTCTCGTATCGGCTAAAAAAAAGCCATTTACAATGTTATGACTGGTTCTTAAGGCTTGGGTATTTGTGCCGATTCATCCCTCTGCAAGCCCCCGAAAATTTGCGTTTTGCGTAACAATCAACCCGTTTGTGAGTGTGAACAGTGTAGCTCACAACTTGATCAGGTTTGTGCCTCGGATGGTATTACCTATTCAAACCCGTGTAAGATGCGCCTGGAAGCCTGCCGGACAGGGAAAGAAATTTTCAAGAGATACAGGGGCGTTTGCGGTTTGTTTTTTTTCTTTTTGCTATCGTTATGATACAGTAGACCAGGTATCCTTCGGTACGTTATTAGGGTTGAGCCACGTACTCTTAGTTGTCTTAAAATTGTCACAGACCAATATCGCACTGCCGTTTAAAAAGAGCATTTTTTTAGCCAACTGGTTGAAGGACTAGTATAAGAGGAATAATTATTTAGAAGGGTGTGCAAACGTGAAATGTGAATACTATTCTTATTGTATGGCTGATAATCTTGGTGTTGGACGGTGTCGTTGCGTCGAAGACTGTTCAGCTGAAAATCAGGAGGCAGTTTGTGCCACTGATGGGATAACGTACGAATCTGAATGTCATATGAGAAAGGCGGCTTGTGAACAGCAAAAATTTGTCATGGTTTCCTTCAAAGGTAGCTGTGATAGTTGTTCCAATGTGGTGTGCCCGTATGGTCAGAAATGTGAAGATGGCTCATGTTCGTGCCCAACAAGCTGCCCCGATTCGACGCCTTATCAAGCGGTTGTAATTTTGTTATAAACAGTGAAAGATCTTTTTATATTATAAGGTTTTCAGCAGATTATTCAGTTTAAGAAATATTCTCTTTATTCTGATTTACTACGTGCTCGACCAAGGTTAAAAGTTTGTTCTCATTTTTTGTCTTTTTAATCTGTGGTTTGTTGTAATGATGTTACTGAAAAGACTGTATATTGTCATTTATGAAGGGTTGTTGTTGTTTATCTTCTGCTAAATGCGTTATTGAACTTTATTGTATCTTTTATCAGCTCAAGAATTTTTATGCCCACTGATGTTTTTTAAAGTAGTAATTTAGGTATGCGGGGAAGATGGTGTTCTGTACCAATCCGAATGTCATCTTCAGAAAGAATCCTGTTTGAGCGGTGCACCAATACAAATACGTCCTTATGAAGAGTGCACATCGGGAAAATTGGCCAGTAAGCTTTTGTCGTTTTCAGATTATTTTTAGAAAACGTTTTTTTTTTTTTGGTTTGAAAATATATTTTTTACTTGAGAAATTGCTTTAAATCTCAAAATTGTTGTAAGCAATTTGCGGAATAAATGACTAGTCAGTCTTTTAAGTGTTTTTAAATCTTGTCGTTCTAACTTTGCCATTTTACAGTAATTCTTTTGTGAGAAACACGTTAGATAACCTGTTTTTTTAAATTGGATTTTGCTAACTTCTTAACCTTGCGACGCTTTGATTGACGGTGTCTGTGGTCCCTTTTTGTAAGTTCTAAATGTTATTCTCCCTTGTGACTGAGTAATTATTGAGTACCGATTTAATCCTGTGTTTAATTTCGCTGAATTGCCGCCTCTGTTACCGAATGAAATGTGTTTTGACATATATGTGAAAAATTTTGAACCTTATGGTTCAGATGATTTCATTCAGTTCTGACTGGCATGCAGAAGTCAGTATCTGTTGGTCCAAGCTTCAATTAAAATTATTTTAGTGGCATGGCCAAGCTTTTCAAGCTTAGTTACTCATGAAAGCTGTTCGTGTCCATTGTTATCTCGCTTGTTTAATCGTTTTATTTCGTTTTATGAATTGTTTTTCCATAACATGCTCAAAAATGTTGCACATGCTTTGGACTGTTTGGAATGAGTTTTTAAGAGAAAAAGAAACAGTTTCTTTATTTTGCTTTTGCTGTAATTTGTCTGAAAGTAAATTTAATAACCTTAGTATCTTTTCTCACATAGTATTTCTGTATTTGTTCTGTGTCTCTGTATATGACGCTTCAGGAAAGCATTTTGTTCTGACGGTTACACTTTGGGCTTCTACGAGGTTGCTTCTTTTCATTAACTATTCTTTTTGTTGGGGCACCTATTATTTTACAGGTGCATCTGTTGGTTGTAACTCTGAAAACTGTTCATATGGTGGGTTCTGTGTGGATATGAAAGGCAACGGCATCGAAGAATGTATTTGTGACTTTAGCTGCAACGTGAAACCAAACAGCGAAATATGTGCATCTGACGGTGCTGTTTACAATTCAACTTGCTATATGGACTTAATGTCTTGCAAACAGCAAAAGCCAATTTACGTTAATGGCCCATTGGTCACTTGTGTTTATGCTGGTACTGAAGTCTTCTTCATTATTTTGATTGGTGGTTTCTTTGCAAGTTTCATACATTGTTGCTGTGTTGGACCTCGTCTCTCTAATTTATTTTCTCTGTACTTGTATTTAAAATTGCTCTTCTTGATATCAGTCCGTTGATGCTTAAGTGTTTGGTGGGTTATCGGCTTCGTAAAAGTGTTTTTGCGTTAATACGCGATCAAAAATTAGAGGCTGGATTTTTTGACATATTAATTCGAAAAAGTTATATAAACGTTTATAATTTAATAATTTAAGACGAGTGTGGTTGTAATCGAGTAGGATCCTATGACAGTAATTGTGATGCTGATGGGCAGTGCAGATGTCGGCCTGGAGTTGGTGGATTGAAATGCGATCATTGCGTTTCTGGTTTCTGGGGAATCCATTTGATTGTGCGAGGAGCAGTCGGATGTCAACGTAGGATTCATTTCTAAATTGGTTCTATCTGAGCAGCTTTTAGTTTACTAAGTAAAAATTTTTGCTTTACTATACCTGCGTAACAATTTGTGTTTTACTTTATAGCTTGTGGTTGTTCGGCGTATGGATCTTCGCGAACTGACTGTGAGCAATCTAGCGGTCGTTGCCAGTGCAAAAACGGCGCTTCTGGTGAGAAATGTAAGAACTGTGCTCCCGATTCTATTTTAACATCTAGCGGGTGTGTCCCGAAAGAGGAGTATAGAGCTCCAAGGTAAAATTTTGAGTGTTTTTGTTATTTTGCTCAAATTTTTTTGGGATTTGGTTGTTTAAGTTTTTCATGAAGCGAACTTTTCTGGTTTATCTTTCTTCTCTAATATTCATTCCTCTCAAATACACAATTTTTTTGAGAGACTGTGAGTCGACCCAGTGTTTACACGGCGCGAAATGTGTGATCTCGGCTACCGATATGCCAGACTGTATTTGTCCGAGGCATTGTTCAGTGGATCATTTTGGAATGGTCGCGAATATGACAGTTTGTGGTAGTGATGGAAACACTTATGAAAATATGTGCGAACTAATGCAGTTTGCTTGCACACATCAATTGGATTTAGTTCCAGCTTCGTTAGGTGTCTGTGATTCTGGTATGTTAGTCATATTTTTTATTTGCAAAGTAGCTATTTTTTTTGATTATAATGCTTTTTTAGCGCGAGATAAGGATGATATCTTTATGAGGCGAGAAAGAAAAAAAGAAGAAGCTTCTGGGATTGGCAGTTTTTGCACAAGTGATGAGGAGTGTAGAATTGAAGAGTCGTTTTGTTTGAAAAAGGACTTGGATGATAAAGGCATATGCGCGTGCAAAATAGGATATCAGTTCTTTCGTTCCTCGAAGCAATGTATTCCTGGTAATATTTCGAAGCTATATTATCTTTATTACTATGTTGTTTTGCCAGCTTTCACTTGAATAATTAGGATGAATTACGGAACTTTTTTCACTACTTTGCTTCTCTTTAGCTATTGACCTTCGGCCGGAATCGAAAATTTGTCATGGTGTGGACTGTGAGACTGGTAAGATTTTCATGTAAGTTATTTATTCATGTTTTGTGAAAACCAATTGTCATCACAAATTTGAAGTTTCAGATGACAAACTAAGAAAGCAGCGTTTCACACCTCTTTTTACTGGAAACGGTTTTCTGGTTCTAGACAGTCTGCGCATAGATGCTAAAAAATCTCTGGAGGTTGAAATATGGCTCAAAGTACTAGCTCCAGACGGACTGGTCTTCTATTGGCCTAAACTCAACAAGAACAAAATATACGATAATGGCGATTTTGTAGCTCTTGTAATCATCGCATACCAACCTCATTTCTTTTGGAATCTTGGTTCTGGAATTTCTTACGTGAAGTTTGTTTTATAATAGCTTTATTTAATTTTGATTTTGAGGTGATATTTTAAAAATTAATTATTTTTTGAAGAGCGTCATCTGTTTTATCGAGTCATCGCTTCTACTCAATTCGCTTTGGACGATTTCTTCGAAATGGTACAATTCAGGTGGATTCGGGATTTGTGGCTCGCCAAAGCTCTTTGGTTTGCCTAATTACTTAATTAAAAGCATTTTATGTTATTTTGTATATTCCCAGTAATTTGACTCTTTGCTTGACGTGACCATCCACCTTGCAAACCAAGAAGTTATTTTGATAAACTCGTTTTCAGTCAACTTACGCTCTGTCGTAGTGTTGCGATTTTCTAAGGTTGTTGTCATGCTATTGCATTGGTCATAGTTCGTAATTTCGCCATCACTGGAAGGAAATAAGTAATTAGGTTTATTTAGAATTTTGAAGGAAAGAGAAGTGGTACATGCAGTTGAAAAGGTTGAAATTGTAAGGGGAAAACGGCTTCGTAATAGTTTTGAATAAATCTAATTAATTTTTCTGAAGGAGCTATGTGATCATAAAAGTCTTCTCTTAAACAACAAAACTGCTTTGTATTAGCCAATCTTACGGCTAGCTATTGCGTCGTAAGCGAAACTAGAAGGTGGAACCGCGCAACTTAATATTTTAATTGACTGAGGTTTAAGCATAGTGTAAATGGATTTATACGTGAGAGAGTCACTTTGTTCATTGGACTTTACTAAGAAATCTTCAAAATTGAGCTGCTCACAAGTGAGGATTAAGCTTTTCAAGCTGAATCCTTTTCTCGGAAAGCAATATTTAGAAACTGCGCTACACAATAAACCATAGAAAGTTGAGGTTTTTGAAAATTTTCCAGCCGAAAAATCAACATTTGGATGTATATGGATCAGATCTATTTATTGGAGGCGTACCAGACCAGAAGATGCTTCCTTCCTTTATTTCTGAATTTGTGTTTCGTTTCAAAGGTGCAATTCAACAACTTAGTATAAATGGCATTATTTATGCAGAAATTTATAAGGTTTCGAACTTCTTGTTTTTGTTCTTTATAATGATATTTCTACATGAATATCGTTCTGGTTTAAAAAGTGAGTAACTGTTAGCATTTTCTTCTGGTTTTTCCTTCAAATTTTAGGACTTGCGGAAAGCTGGTGACGTTCGTTTCTACGAAGGTGCCCCATGTCTTAAAGGCATTTGTGGTGATGGTTTCTGTTTTGCAAAGTTGAATAATTTTACGTGTCAATGTCCGCCTGATACATCTGGATCTCAATGTGAAAAAAGTATTTGTTGGTTTTATATGGTTTTCTTTACCAGCTTCGCTCATTTCTCGAATAAAAGTTATTTTAAGAAGGAGCCGAGTCAAATTATGATGTTGGAGCTTATTTTACTGGTGATTCAGAATACTCTTATTTTAATCGAGTTACTCATGGGTAAGCTTACCGTTTAAATTCTTTTCGCTGCACTTTAACGTTACCGGTTAACTTCTTAACTTTAACGTTTTCTTGCCAGTTCATTTGAGTCATTTCATATTCTAAAATTGATTTTTTGTGGATTTTCAGCTTGAAGGGACAGCGTTCAGTAAAGTTTTCGTTTTGGTTTAAGACTGCAGCATCTGAAGGCCTTATTTGGTGGGAGAACAAAGGGGCCAGTATCCAAAATGATTACTTAGGGTTGTTCTTACATAATGGAAGATTAGGGTTTGTAATGAACCTTGGAAACGATCAGAGAATGAAACCAGTTCTTATGCACTCTCGTCTGAACAACAATGTTTGGCACAAAATTTCCTTCAACAGGTTTTCGTTCTTTAGCTACTTCTGTTGTGAGAGGAACAGTGGCCCTGCTCACAGATGACGTTTGCATGCCAATTGATCTTAACATTATTCTTCGCATTTAGACGAAAGAATCGTGTGGAGTTACGAGTAGATGCTGAATCAAATCTTTACTTTGCACCTGAGAATTCTACAGGGCTGAATTCCGACGGTGTTGTTTGGATAGGTTTATTTGATTTTGACTCAAGAATTTTGTATCCGGATATGTTAATAATTTTTTGCTTGATATACTTTAGCTGCCCTTTTTACAGTTTTTTTAGTGAAATGTTACGGGATTGTACGGATATCATACAGGGTTTTTTACCACTTACCTTAATTATCTTTTGTAAAAACACTCGTTTATATTACAGGTGGGAAAAAACAGCTACCATCTGAACTTCCCTTACGCTCATTGTTTCGAGGATGCATAAAAAAGGTTTTAATTGAGGGTTATCGACTAAGACTGCAAGAGGATGTGTTGTCTACTAAGGGACCAAGTTCATGTTCGGAATAAACTATTTCACTTTTTGTTACCTTCTCCCTGCCTAGTCATTTTTCTAATTTTAGTTCCCATTTTTTTTTTTAAAATTTGTTTACTACGCTCTTTTTCGTTTGTTTGAGAAAATTTTTATAGTGGCATTGTTGTGTTGTAAAATCAAAAATATAGTAATTATAATGATAATAACGATAATAATATTAGTGATGTAAGAATAATAAAAATAGGGATAATAATGATAACGATAATAATCATATCAAGGATGACAATCTAATTTAGGCTTACGGTAAGCCGTTCCCTGTGATGTGTTGTACTTTTAAGTCATCGTTTTTTTTTGTTTCTGAGGCAAAGAAGCATTTTTTTGACCATGTGCTCATCTGAATACAATCTGGTATTTGTGTGTGACAGAAAGTTCCAGTCTTTGAGTCTAAATAGGTTTTTAAAAACTTCTTCTGATCTCATTGTGCAACGTATACCTAATACCGATTAAAGTTTTTGAATGAATGTATTTGTGTCGTTTTGCACGTTTTAAGATAAATCATGTAATCTGATGGCT